GCTTGGGGAAAAGCCGGAAAAAAGCGTCTAGACTGGCGCGATCCTCCGGAATAAAGCCCTTTTCCGGAGGATCTCTTATTCCTACTTTCAAGCAGGGCTCATGCTTAGTCCCTAGCCCCTATGGTCTAGGAACTAGGCAAAGTTTTCTAGCTTTGATGTGTTCGGCACATACACAGGATACATTGCATTTACTCAAATACCTTATAGCACATCCTTATGGGCAGATGGGAAATGTTGACACATTAGGAAACTTGTATTTTTTGCTAATTCTACTTGCATATGTACAGTAGGCCTAACTACATATAAATAATGAATTCTTCTGAAACTAATTCTTTCCTCTGAAACAGACTTCAGGATTCATAAAATTGTGTGTAAACTAGTAGGAAGCTATCCCTTTAGTAAATTTTCATCAGAGGAAACATGCCATACATTGTTGGCATGATGGTCACTTTTATTTAGTGCAACTCTGTTTCAAAAGATATTGACGTTAAAGTGTGTGGCAGTAGATGCTATGGACATGTCTAAAACATATCTTTTTTTAATAGAATATCCACGTGTGCCTGGGTGGCTTGTTCGTACCTGAGGCTTACATTACTGCTACAAGACAATATGTGGCTCAAGCAAACAGCTGGTCCCTGGAAGAACTTTGTCTAGAAGTCAATGTTACAACTACTCAGAATGCAGTCCTGGATGCCTGCAGTTTTGGAGTTACAGGTTAGCTAGTGTGCTTTTTACAAGGAGGAAGGGAAGTAAATAGGTGCTATTAGCCTATAACTCTGGGAATTTATCTTTAAAAATGTTGATATACACTATATCAAATTGCTAACTCCCTTGGTGTTAGGTATCAGAATGAAAATTACATTTTAGGCAACTGCACTAAAAGTAACATTTGGAAATTAATGTCTATCAGGATTTCTTCATTGGAGAATTTTGCTATGCAAGTGCCTAGCATTTGAGAATCCTTTTGAATAAATATCAGTAGTAGGGCAAAAAACATTAGCCAACCTGTTCGAGTTAGCATGTCGGTGACTTTTTTATTCCTCTAATAGCCTTCCCTGTTGCCTTTTCTGGAGTATTTTTGATCTGTATAAATTAGGGCTCCTATTTTAACAGTAGGTCTATACATCAGTTACCTCACTTTAGATGGGTGAAGCTACCTCTGGACTTGAAAATGGAGTGGAGAAGGAAACTTCCTTTTTAAGTGTACATACCCTTCACTTTCAGGAAAGACCTCAAATTTTCATACTTCCTAACTTACAGGTTTGAAGCTTCAGGGAGCTACATGCAGTAACAACAAACTGTCCCTTTCAAATGCAATATCAACTATATTGCCCATAACACAGCTTCGCTGGATCAAGCAGACAAATGCTGACAAAAAGGCTAATGTGGTAAGTAATGTGAAGATAAATGTGTTGTCATTCTGTGACTCCTTCAAGTAGTGGCTATTCTACTTTCTGTGGAGCCTTATAATAAAAATGGGGCTGCACTTGTTTCTATTCCATTGGGCTATGTCTACACTGTGCTGGTTTTGCGCAGGAAATATGCAAATGAGGCTGTGTGGAATATTGCTGAGCCTCATTTGCATAATTGAGTGGCCGCTTTTTGCACAAGAGGCTTTTGAGCAAAAAGGAGCCATCTACACGGCTCCTTCTTGCACAAAAACTCCCTCTTGCACAAGAGCCATTTTGCCTGAAAATAAGCAGCAGCAGAATGGCTCTTGCACAAGAAAGGGTTTTTGTGCAAGAAAAAGCAGTGTAGACTGCTCCTTTTTGCGCAAAAGCCCCTTGTGCAAAAATGGTGGTTCATTAAGTATGCAAATGAGGCAGTGATATTCCTTGCCGTGCCTCATTTGCATATTGTGCAAAACTAGCGCAGTGTAGACATAGCTTTAGTCTTACGTTTTGTAGTACCACAGATGTTCCTTTCCAATAGTTTTCAACCCTGGGGGTTATAGTTCCTCGGAGCCTTGCAAACAGATCCAATATTGCTAGTACCCTCAGCCAGCCATAAAGAGGGTATCAAGAAATTAGAACTCATCTAGTATTTCGTCTTGGAATGGAGAAGTCTGAACAAAGCCTTAGAAACGTGTTATAACAAGTTCACTTTAGCCTGACAAACTGAGAGTTCTTTCTTACAAATATGTTCGTTCGTTTGGTTGGGGGAGGGCGAGCAGAGTCTAATGTGGACAAATGTCTCTTTACATAACTTCCAGTGGTGGGGGAACATTTCATCTTTTCCCCTTGACTCTCGTATCTTGCATTCAACTATCTTATCCACAATTTAATCAGTGCCTAACTTTTTTTCAGGTTACATTACCAGTCTATCTGAACTTCACGCGTGCTGATCTGATCTTCACTGTTGACTTTGAAATTGCCACCAAGGAAGATCCTCGCAGTTTCTATGAACGTGGTGTTGCAGTCCTCTGCACAGAGTAACAAGACAATGTTTTCTAAATGATACACAATTTTACTACTATTTAATCTGCAGTGTTAGTCACCAAGGCATGGGGAAGTTGTCAGGATGGTTGACACAAAGTTGACTTGCTAGAAGCTGGTGTACTTAAAGTGATACTGATAGTGTGAGAGGAAAATTGGATGTGGTTTTTAGATGGTTCTAATTACATGTGCTTAATGCTTGATGGTCTATACTACATTAAATACATTCTGTAGCATTATTGGTGGTGGTTTATTTCCTTTCTAAAAGCCTTATTCTTGTCATGACTTGCTCTAGAGAATTACTTTCATTAATGCTTTTAAATGTTCAAGATGAAACATCGGTTATTTAATAATGAACGATGCTAACCCACTAAGAAACCAGTTTTACCATTTATGGCACTTGCAGCTCTCCTGTATAAATCACATGTAACCTGAAACAAGAATACAAAAGCCAAAATTAATTCAGTGCAACAAGTTGAAATTGAACAGATTCTCCTTTTAAAAAGGTAAGGGTGATGTCATGTTAATGTTACTATTACAGTAAACTTCCGATAATCCGGCACCTTTAGGACCCAGGGGGTGCTGGATTATCAGATATGCCGGACTATAGGAAGGGGGGGCTATGAGGGGTCTGGGGTAGAGTGTGGGGGATGCACCCCACAGTGCTGCGGGACCAACCCAGCAGCACCCCAGCTGCTCTGCCCCAGGCTTCCCGGAGGCAG